ATGTACTTTGCTCTGCCATATCATCTCCAAGTTTTTTGAGTGGGTGATAGTCAACCGTTCCAAGTTGAGAAATGCAGCCTACATAATGAATGAAAGCATCGTGTCATTGACAATGAAAAGATAAATTTCTTCTTGATCCAAAGAAACAATATAATGACAATTCAGAAGCAAAAACTTGAGAAATGACACATAGACATTTAGAATGAAGGATGGTAGTAAACTTTGCTTGGGATAGTTAAACATTGTCTGATTAACTGATTTTCTTAAATTGAATAATTTTACTTATAACTTTTAAGTGGAGAAAAAAAAAATTTTTTTGAGCAAGGGTAATTTTTTACAAATATTCGTACCATGCTATGGGAGGAGGGAAAAGGATTCTCAGGAAATCAAATATCAAATCTGAGATGATGTTTCCACAAAAGGACAAAATTTTTAAGTAGAGAATTTTTACGCACAACAGAGACATCTGTTTTACGTCATACTTAATAATTAATAATTATTTTTAACAATCAAATAAATACAATTTCATTATTCCTGTGTGCTTTTCAAAGTTTAAACTTTTCTGAGTCGCAATGGGTCGAGTGGAAGTGAGAATATACATATTGAAGCTTCACTTTTGATAGAGATATTATTAGGACTAGAGCTACGAAAAATATAAATCTAATCGTAGCAATAATCTACTTGCTTTTAAGATTCAAAATGCTCTATGATTTGTCTAATTTCTAGTGTAATAATTGTCGTTTGCCAACCACGCAGTGGATTGATATTTCATTGGCATGTGAATCTTTTGCTTTTGTTGTTCACCGTCCTGCTCAGTTGAGATTGAGGAATAATTGCTGCTACCCTACTAGTAAAATCTCCTCCATTAACTACAACTAGATTTTTATTTTTTTTTTTTATTTTGAATTGAATTGTAAGAAATAATTTTTTTTTAAATTTTTTAATTTTTTACACTCTCATGTGATGTCAATTAGACATAGAATCTATTGTTGATATAGGTATTATACTAATTTTTTTTATGTATCATTGACCTACACTAAAAACTAAGATGTATATTGACTTCATGAATAATTTATAATTTACAAACTTAATTGAATTAAAATTTTTAAACATCTAGGTATTACAATTAGAGTTGTAAAATAAATAGAGTTAAATTTGTTAAAACTTGAATTTGACTTGATGTTATGTACAATAATAAATCAATTCAATTCGAATATAACTTGATTTTAAACTTTATTCATAAGTTTTATTTACTACTCAAATTTAATAAAGGATTTAAATTAAATTCAAGTTAAAATTTTCAATGTTTTATATATATATATTTAGTTTTTAATATAAAGGAGTCAAATCAAATTTAAATTATAACTTGTATTTAACTTTAGTTAATTTTTACAATAAGTTTTCAACTCAAACTTGATTTTGAATGAAAGTTGATTTCGAATAAAATTGAATCCAACTCGAGTTCAAGTCGGGTAATAAACTCATTTACAGCACTAATTACACCAACTTTGAAATCTTAATTACTACTAGAAGAATGTCTAGAACTGCAAAATTAACAAAGTGAAGGTTGAGGATCAAATTATACTTTGAGTAAAAAATTAAGGACCAATTTAGGAATTTAGCCTAGATGGACCGTGATAATTGTCCTTGGGTAAGGGGCCTGACAGATTTAGACATAGACTAATTTGAAAGAAGTTTACAAAGTAGTGCAATTTACCTAGAAACAAAAAAAGTTGTGCAATTTTCATCACTTTTTACCATTGAATGAATTTGGAATGGGATTTGGAATCCGATTTACTAAATAAACAGAAACAAGACAGTCTTTTCAATTATAGAGGGTTGCCTTTGACTGGTTACTTTGATGTAAGGATAAATTAAAAAAATGTCAGACATATACCAAAAACACTCCATATAAGAAAGCCCATAACAAAAGGACCCCCTATTGAAATTCTCAATAATTTGCAGTAATGAGACGATTTTAGTAAGTTGTATATCACTTATTGGAACTTAATGTATTTGAAATTTTTTTTTTTTATAAATAAGGAATTTAAAATTTGATTTCCCGTCCACGCCCCTACTCTGCCAACATAATTGTTTCTTCTAATAATTTTCGGAAATGAGAAAATATTTTAAGATTTAAGTTATATTAAATTATAAAATAATAATTTTTAAATTAAAAAAGATTCTTTAATATTCAACTCTCTTTTTTATTTAAAAGTTATAAATAAGGAATTTAAAATTTGATTTCCCGT